TGAGGAATCAAGTTGGCTGAAGTCAAGTTAAATCTAAATTAAGCAAATTTAAGCCAATTTCTTGCTTGTTTTCTATGATAATGTCTGATTGACTTTTAGTAACTAGAAAAAGTTTGTAAGTGGTCTATCATTATTTATTAAATTTCCTCATGTATTATATAATACAGTGCTTTTTATAATTCTATAATAAAAAATGTTAAAGATAAATTTTAGTTTTTGTTTCAGTTAGCCTGTACACAACCAGTACTGTATGAGCTCCAATAAAAAACAAACAGCCGGGTGTGGCGGCGCACACCTTTAATCCCAGCACTTGGGAGGCAGAGGCAGGAGGATCTCTGTGAGTTCAAGGCCAGCCTGGTCTACACAGTGACTTCCAGGACAGCTGGGGCTACAGGGAGACCCTGTCTCAAAAAGACCGAAAAAAAAAAAAAAAAAAAACCCACACAAACAACAACAACCAAAAAACACTACCTCCCAACCAACTAACCAAACCAAAAATCCCCTTTTTTCATTTGGAGAGGCTGAATAAAGGTGAATGGAAAAAAGAAATGATAGCTGGATCTATTGTCATTATAGGGAGAACTAAAAGTTTAATTGTAGCTGAAGGAAACCTTAAAAATACTGCTTTCATGCCTTACAAATTCATAGATGTTTATTAAAAGTATATTCTACATTGCCAGAAATAAGTTCAGTAATGGGCCTTAAGGAGTAGTTTGTCTATTTAAAAAATTCTATATTGCAAGTAAAGACTTCAGTAAATAGATCTTACACAATGGCTAAAATAAACTAATAATTATCAACTGGGATACACTTCAAACCCAAACTCATGAAAGCTGTTGGTAGACTAGACCAGTAATATATTTATGAAAATACTCTGCCGGGCATGGTAGCACATGCCTTTAATCCCAGCACTCTCGAGGCAGAGGCAGGTGGATCTCTGTGAGTTCAAGGACAGCCTGGTCTACATAGTGAGTTCAGGACAGCTGGGGCTACAGGGAGACCCTGCTTCAAAAAGACAAAAAAAAAAAAAAAAAAAAAAAAAAAATTCTATGAAGTTTCAAAAAGGGACCAAAAAGGGAAATGTTAAAAAATTGAGCCAAAGGACTGGAGAGTGGCTCAGTGGTGAACCAGGTTTGATTCCCAGCACCCACGCACATGGCGGCTACGAACCGTCCTTAACTCCAGTTCTAGGGGAATCCGAAGCCCTCTTCTGACTTCTGTGGAATTGCACGACATGGGTGCACTCACATACATGCAGGTGATACGCTCATACACATAAAATAAAAATAAATAAAAATATTTAAAAAATTGAGCCACAACATTTCTAAAACCAACATTACTATCTTATTTTTCAAAAAAAAAATGGAAATTAAAATAAAAATTAAACTCAGTTTAAATTTAAATAAACTTGGGGGCTGGAGAGATGGCTTGGTGGTTAGAGTACTGACTGCTCTTGCAGAGAACCTAGGTCCGATTCCCAGCACCCACATGGTGACTAACAACCACCTATAACTCCAGTTCCAGGGGATTGACTGCCCTCTTCTGATCTCCAACACACTGCCTGACACACGTACACTTACATACATGCAGGCAATACACTTATACACAGAAAATAAAAATAGAGATAATAAATTTTTTTTTTTCAGTCTTTTTGAAACAGGGTCTCCCTGTAGCCCCAGGGAGACTATGTAGACCAGGCTGGCCTTGAACTCATAGAGATCCACCTGCCTCTGCCTCCCAATTGCTGGGACTACAGGCATGAGCCACCACACCTGGCTAATAAAATATTTTTTAAAATTTAAATAAACTTAACTTTGACAAAGTTGTATAAATTAGGAAGTTTAAATATTAATAAATAAAACCATGCAAAATATTGTTTTACTCAAAAGCTGTAAGTTAATACAACAGAATAGTTATCAGAAGTAACTGACAACACCATGACAGAAGTTGTACCTGAAAGCATAATATTCAACAATAGATTTGCAAAAAAGAAAAAAGATAAAATAGAAGGCATAGTTCCTTAGAAAAGAAATAACTTAATTTCAGCCTACAACTGATTATTAATAATCACAAGTTAATCCTTCCAAATACAGCAATTTAAAAAATTACAATTAATAAGTGTTATAGAAACAGATTAAAGTTTTTGGAATATGAAAACAATTACCAACTGACTTATGATAGTAAAAAGGAACTTTCCCTAGCAAGTTTTCAGTGGCTGTCACTTTTATTGCTCTATAAAAAAATTAAACTTCTATCCTTACAAGCATAGATAAGACATAAGGAATAATTTTATTCTAAATATTCTAAGAACCCTACCCTTCAAAAACTAGGGGTACAGGACAGACTACCTGCCACTGCAGCTCCTCTGTTAGCATTCAACCTTCAGTTACCACTGTGACTTACATGGTTGCTGCTTTGTCTTTTTCTTTCACACACACACACACACACACACACTCTTACACGTTAGTGCTTAAGATAAAATTTTGGTGGCGCACACCTTTAATCCCAGCACTTGGGAGGCAGAGGCAGGCAGATCTCTGGGAGTTCAAGGCCAGTCTGGTCTCCATAGTGAATTCAGGCCAGCTGGGGCTACAGGGAGACCCTGTCTCAAAAAGACCAAAAAAAAAAAAAAAAAAAACAAAAAAACAAAAAAAGAATAGGTTAATCCCCAAAGACATAAAAACAAGGATAATGTGGCAAAAAGAGTAACTTTGACTTTTATTATCATGAAATTACTTAAAGAGTATTTTGATAACCAGGCTCCAGGGGATGGACCCACACTGAAGGACATTTGGGGACACAAATTCAACTCCATAGGCCTTAATATATATGACAGAGTACAGAAATCCAGCAGGGGTTGGGGGGATAGGGGTGGGCTATAAGAGGGGTACACATAGGGGAGGGGGCCTAAAATATGATAAAAATGTACTGTATGAAACTCTTAACAATTCAATAAAAAATTTTTTTACAAAGAATATTGTAAAGCCACAAATTTTGGTTAATAAAATGTTTTTATAATTATATCTGGATCATAAACAGTATATAAAAGGTTGATGTAGATCAATTAAATAGAGAAGTTGTAATAATTACTGAAAACTATAGCTCCTTAAAACAGCTTTATATAGGGCTGGAGAGATGGTTCAGTGGTTAAGAGCACTGGCTGCTCTAGATGAGGACCTGGGTTCGATTCCCAGCACCCACATGGCAGCTAAAAACTGTAACTCCAGTTCCACGGGAATCCCACGCTGTCTTCTCACTTCCATGGGCATCGCATGACACAGGTGCACTTATATACATGCAGACAGTACACTCATGCAACAAAAAAACAATAAATTAAAAACAACCCAGCTTTATATGTAGAAAGATAACTTATTTATTTTCATTTAAGTACTAGGCAGCCTAAATTTTGTTTTGAATTTTATTTTTGAGTGAACACCCTGAGATTACAGAAGTTTCTAAGTAAAAAATTATAGCAAAAGTAGAATCCCAGCCCAGGCTTCTCCTATTTTCAGCATGTTTAAGTTACTGTCCATTGTCACAGAATAACGTGTTCAGAGAAGCCAAACTACGTGTCTGGCTAGCCCATGGGAAATACTATTGTTTTACTGTGGAAAAGGCCCTCAAAGAATTATTAGAATCAGATAACTAAGCAAAACTAACCACTGGCCTATTTATCCAGAAATGTGTAGAGATAATGCCACAGACTATATTTATAAAAAGGTTTCAGATCACTTATAAAAATATTATTTAAATTTAACAACTTCTCCCAAGATGGCCTTGATAGTCCCCAGTCATAAGTAGCTCTGCTTGTATATTTAATAAATTGAACAGAAAATATTGTTAAATACTATTCATTTTCATTTAAGTGGATAAGTTAACAGTTATTTTTAAAAGGCTAATTTAACTAGCACCAGAATACTGTCCAAAGAAACCTGAGAACTCATTTAGAGGACTTTCAAAAATTGAAAAAGACAATTCTCTAGAAACACACATTTCCTAGAGATAGGAATATATTTAAATGAGAAGTTTGAGGATGGAGGTTAATTTTCACAAGTCAACCATTTAAGAATACCACATTATGAGATATATTGATTTCAAATCACTTATATATCTTTAAATAAAAGCATTCTTTTGAAAATTTACATTTATCTTTACAAACAGCTTTCACATTAAGTATTTCATTTATGCTTTCCAACAACATATTAAGGTACCTATTTGATGTTAATTTCTGAGATGAAAAACTAGGGTTCTGAGACATGAAGGGACTCTAATCAAGTGAAGGAGCAAAATGTAAGTTTGGTGCTTTGCCTATTCCACAACACTGAGCTGTTACAATGCTCAGATTTCCTACTACATATCAGACCATATAAAATTATTTATTTAAGTCCTTTGCCCCTCAACCATTATATTTGATTTTTGCCTGCAGCAGTCTTTCTAGGTTATTTAGACAGGTTTGTCTAAAAGTCTAAACAGTAAAACTGTTTCCTTAAATAACACCATTACTAAGAAAAAAATACTGAAAATTTAAATGGTTTCCAGGTTTTCTAAATAGATGCAGGAATGGAGATTAAGAAAAAAAATGCTGTGCATATTTTTGCTACTAGCACAATTTTGGTGATGAATGTGTATTAAAATTTTTACTTACTTTATAATCTTAGTAATAAAATAAAAATAAAAAGCAAGTAAAGGGGTAGAAACATTTTAGATGCTAGTGCTAAGACTGATTTATAAGTGGATAACTTTAGCCAAGTGATTTCCTTTTCTCTTCTGTAGCTTTAATTATAGGTTTAAAATAATATATGCAGATATGGTAGAAAAAGTAAAAATTTCAAAGAAATACAAAGTGGTGGTTTTAGTTTAAAAAAAAAAAAGAACTTTATCAGAGAGCAGTCTTTGATTGTTGTTAGTTTGTTTTCTATTTTAGGCACAATAACTCACCCAGCAAAAACAATCAGCTTCAGGCAGGAAAACAAAGTAAAGGGCAATTTCATAGTTCTTACCTGCATACATATGGTATGTAAGTCTCTCTATAAGTTTAACAACAGTTCCTGCTTTGATGATTGGAATTCCAGCCTTGGGCTGCATGTTCTCTTCAAATATAATATTCTCCTCAGAGTCAGGTTCTGCAAACCTATATACATCAGCACTAGGCAGCCTCATCTGCTCCTCCTTCTCTTCCTGTAGCATTGTTACATCAAGCATTCTTTCCAGTGTACTCCGGTACTGTAAAGATATCAATGCTGCCATCCAGTTGTTTTTCTCTTCAGCTGACTTGGCAGAAAATATAACACTATTTTCATCTTTCAGAATTATTTCAAAAGCATGCTTGTATTCACTGGTGTCATCTTTATCATTAATTTGTACCTTTCGCATAAAAAACTTTTCTTTCAGACGATATTCTGCATTGCTAGCACCAGGTAGTCTTGGCTGTCCATGATTTGATTTACAGCAGATCATTAAGCCATCAAAGAGAAATATGTGTCTCTCATGTTTGGCTCCTACACGTGTAAGAGTTCCTTCCATTATAAATTCATTGCAACACTGTCCAATGTCTTTCCCTTCCCAACCATCAATATTCTTCTGAATCTCGTTCATTTTCTTGATCGCTAGTTGTTTCCCCTTCATTTGTTGGCTATAAAACCGACATGCAGATTCACTAGGATAAGGAAAAGACACTTAGAACATAAAAGACAGACCCAGGAGTTCATGTAGATAAGGGACAGGGGAGAAGCACATCTTGAAATGTCACTGAAAAGGTTTACTAATCCCCCAAATATTAGTATTCTGTAACTACACAACTTTGGAAACTAAAACACTTATTTTTTTTCAGGACTCTAACAAGAATAATGATTATTAATAAAATTCAACCACATAAATTCAGCTACAGAATGATTATTTCTGTCTTGGGTAGTAAATTTTATAAGGATAAATATTAAAAAGTTGCCTAATATAGTAAAAAAAAAAAGAGATGAAAATAAATTATTTAGAAGTATTTAAATGGACAAGACCTAAAGCTAAAAGCACATAGCACATAATTAGGAAAGTACAAGAAATGTTCTCTGAATTAATTTCTCAAGTTATAGAATACCTAAACTAGAGAACACCACTAACTTGACTCTGACAGAACAATGATGATGGCATAAATCTACCCGATACATTTTGTTCTGTCTCCTTTAGCTTACCAGTTGATTCTCAGGAGGTCTTGTCTGGGAGTATGCAAGGAAAATGCACAAATATGAAAGGTTTTTCAAACAATAACAAATTCTCTTGGCTTTGATGTCACTTCCTCTGAAAGACCAAGCTTGTCACTAAAACTATTTTCTTCATTGTTTACTTGAGGAGGGAACTAGGATCCCTGAATTTATACCACAGTATTCAGGATAAAAAGGGAGGATATTTTAAAGAGAGAATATTCACCTCAGTCTTCGTTTTGCAAGGCTTTTAGAACATATTTTTTCCATACCACTTTGAACATTGAGCAAAGCTGTTATTGCTTGTTTCAAACATTCCTTGTCTTCTTGATCTTCACTCTTTTCTTCTAACTGCTGTTAAGTCAAAAGGACAGATCTGAACCACTAGAGTTTTGGACAAAACAACGACCTCATTTTACTTAAGGAAAAAAGTAACAATCATTCAACACTTTCTATCATAATAATTTTAAATGTGTTATAAATTTTTAAAGTACTTTTTTAAAGTATTTTTCTGGGTGGAAGAGATAGCTCAGTTGGTAGTGCTTGCCTAGCATGCATAAAACCTTGGGTTCTATCTCTTAACACCTCAAAAACTAGGCATGATGACCCACATCTATAATCAGGGCACGCAGGAGGTGGTGGCTGTCATTCTCCAGTGAGTTCAAGGTCAAAAGAAAACCAAGTAACTTTTGTTGTTTCTGCCAGGTATGGTGGTGCATCCCTATAATTCTAGCACTTGGGAGTTTGAGGCTAGCCAAGGCTACATAGCTAGGCTTTTTTGTATATTACTATCTGCATTGGCATGTAACCACATCTTTTTTATGTTATAAAACAAGGGGAGCAATTTTTTTTTTTTTCTGGTCTTTTTGAGACAGGTTCTCCTCGTAGCTCCAGCTGGCCTCGAACTATGTAGACCTGGCTAGCCTTGAACTCCCAGAGATCTGCCTGTCTCTGCCTCCCGGGTGCTAGGATTAAAGGCATGCGCCACCACGCCTGGCAATTTTTTTTTTTAATCTTTAAAAAACAGGGGGCTGGAGAGATGGCTTAAAAGTTAAGAACATTTGCTGGTCTTCCAGAGCACCCACATGGCAGCTAAAAACCATCCATAACTCCAGTTCCAGGGAATCTTGCAGCCTCTTCTGGCCTCTGCAGGCATTGCAGGCATGTGGTACACTTGCATACAAGCAGGTAAAACACTCATACACATAAAATGAAAATAATAAAAAATATTTTTAAAAGGTATTTTCCAAAGGATAAGAGACTTTAAAAACATACATATTAGGAACAAAACAAGGAGCTGGAGAGATGGCTCAGTGTTAAGAACACTTTGATGCTCTTGCAGAGGAGCCAGGTTCATTTTCTAGCACCCACATAGCAGCTCATAACTGTCTATACCCCAGTTCCAGAGGATCTGATGCCCCGTCTGTTCTCCTTGGGCATTAGGCACATACGTGATCTGTATATATATATATATACAGGCAGAACACTCATACACATAAATTTAAAAAACTAATACATACAAAATGAACAACAAAAACAAAATGCAAATACTTTTTACTTGTGGTACTGCTCTTCTGTATGGTCAGATATTTTAAAGAAAATCAATTAGCATGTTATACAAAAAAAACCAGGACTAGGTTTTTACTTAGTACACATTACTAGCAGCTGAGGACTGGATTCCAGGTAATCTTTTTATTTTTATTTATTAATTATATTTTCTGTGTACAAGTATATTGCCTGCATGTGTATAAGTGCACCTGTGCCATGCAATGCCCACAAAGGCCAGAAGAGCAGTGTTAGATCCCCTGGAACTGGAGTTATAAATCATAGTTGCCATGTGGGTGGCTGGGAATCGAACCTGGTCCTCTGCAAGAGCAGCCAGTGCTCTTAGCCACTCCATCCCACCACCTATGCCCCAGGTAATCTTTCAAAGTACTTTTTGTCCCTATCATTTTGAACAATTTGCCTTTTGCATTGCAGAATTTTTGGAAACAAATAAAATGTCACCATTAACATTAACCAAGTTTAGGGTTCAAAGGCAAAAGATAACCTTATACTGAAAGCTATTTTGTACATTGAGAAAAAGCAATTTAATGAAAGTGCCATTAAAGAATGAACCATTTTACTGAGAATTCAATCCCTCAAAAGTAAAGTACAAGTCAAGCATGGTATCACACACTTTTAATCCTAGCACTCAGGAGGCAGAAACAGAGGCAGAGGCAGGAGAATTTCTGAATTCTGGGCCAGCTTGATCTAGAAGTGTGCCAGTTAGTACATAGTAAGACTGTGCCTCAAAAAAACATTAAAAAAGGTAAAGTCCAGGACTCGTAAAAGCACATTCTGCAAAGCCTAAGAACCTTATTAGTTCAATCCCCAGGACCCATAAGGTGGAAGGAAAGAAACAACTCCTGCAAGTTGTTCAACACCCCTCCCTGCCCTCTTGAGTTAAAAAAGCATTGTGTGTGTCCGGTGGGGAGGTGGGGGGTGTGGGGGAGAGGAGAGAGAGGAGAGGAGACAGACAGACAGACACATCTGCTGCAAGAGCAGCAAGTACTCTTAAACACTAAGCCATTCTCCAGCTCCTGTCTTTGGTATTTGTTTGAGAAAGGGTTTCCCTGTAGTCCCTGCTGGCTTGGGACTCATTATGTAGATCAGGCTGGCCTTGATCTCACAAAAGATCCACCTCTCTCTGCCTTAGGAGCACTAGGATTAAAGGCATACAGCACCACACCCAGCTGATATTTAAAAATTACTAATTCAGCAAATATACCTAATACTGTACAAAATTCTAATATGAAGAACATACAAGAAAAAACTGTTTAGAGATGCATTAGATTTTCTATTTTAAAAATGTTTATAGAGTTTTAGAGTCATTTATAACTGTAGCATTTTGCATATGGAACATATAGGCATCTGAGAAAGACTGCTTATATTTTTAAAACCACAAACCCAAACCCAAAGTTTTTTCCTTCCTTTTTCATGTACCCTAGCCTAGCCTTGAACTCACAATGAAGCCAAGGCCTGCCTTGAACTCTTGGTCCCCTTGCCTCCACATCCCATGTGCTGTGATTACAGGTTTGTACCACCAAAGCTAGTTTATAATAAGAGTTGGGGATGGTGGAACCTAGGGCTTTGTGCATACTAGGCAAGCACTTAGTTACATCTCTAGCCCTAAAATGATTTTAAACCCATGAATTTTTCTGATGAAATACTTTTAAATGTCATAGTTATTAAGCAAATATCTAAAATTTCACTGTAATGAAGACCTTTCTTTAAAGAAAATTCTTTTTTAATTTGTGGGCTTTTTTTGGGGGGGGCGGTCTTTTTGAGACAGGGTCTCCCTGTAGCCACAGCTGTCCTGGAACTCACTATGTAGACCAGGCTGGCCTTGAACTTACAGAGATCCGCCTGCCTCTGCCTCCTGGGTGCTGGGATTAAAGGCATGCGCCACCACGCCCAGCTGATTTATGTGTTTTGACTGCATGTATGCAAGTGCACCTGTGTCATGGAATGCCCACGAAGGCCAGAGGAGGGCATCAGATCCCCTGGAACTGGAGTTAAAAATTGGTTGTTAGCTGTGATCTGGGTGCTGGGAACCAAACCCAGGTCCTCTGCAAGAGCAGCCAGTGCTCTTAATCACTGAGCCATCATCTCTCCAGTCCCAGGGCATTCTTTATGAGCATTCCGTTCTTTTATTTAACAAACTGGGAAATGGGTATAAAATATTTCAAGCTAACTATCATTAAGGGGTGCTTCTTGTTTCCACAGAAGCATAGCAATTAGTATGCAAATGACAAGGAAGCAGCATTCTCTTGTTACCAATGTGATTAAGATCATGGCTTTCATGCGTGTTCATTTACCAACACTGTACAAATAGCAGAAACTTAACCATAGCTTACTAAGATTATACTGCCATGCACACTGAATCTCATCTAAGGAATCATATTCTAAAGCATAATAAAAATTTATATGTCCTATACAGATGATAAAGGAGCCACTTTTACCTGATTACTTTTTTGGATCCTTAGATTGGCCGGATGTGGTGGCGCAGGCCTTTTATCTCAGTACTCAGGACGCAGAGGCAGGTGGATCTCTGTGAGGTCAAGGCTAGACTGGTCTACATAGTGAGTTCCAGATCAGCTGGAGCTACAGGGAAACCCTGTCTCAAAAAGACCAAAAAATAAAAAAATAAAAATAAGCAGTGGGAAGCCAGGTATGGTGGCTCATACCTGCAATCCAGCACCTGAGAGGCTGAGGCAAGAGGATCACCACAAGTTTGAGGTTAGTTGGGCTATAGAATAAGTTTCAGGCTCAAGACTAAGACTTTGTCTCAATGTCCTGTGTCTCCCCCCACCAGTTCACTGACAAAAAGAAGGAAATGTAGTTAATATGGTATATTGGATGTACAGTATGCAATATGTACAATGTATCTTTCAAGAAACGCTGGTAGATATTAAAGTGCTGTTAAAGGAAAGTGATATTCATAGAAATATTCTGAAGAATAAAATGATTATTTTAGACATAAATTGTATCTGGTATATAATGAGTTCAATTTATAAATAAACATAGAATGGCTTATTTATTTATTTATTTATTTATTTATTTGAGACAGGGTTTCCCTGTAGCCCCAGCTGGCCTGGAACTATGTAGACCAGGCTGACCTGGAACTCAGAGATCCACCTGCCTCTGCCTCCCAAGTGCCCAGATTAAAGGCTTGCGCCACCACGCCTGACATGGTTTCCTTTTTTTAGAACTAGAAACATGCATATGTACATTTTTATTTATAGAAACTACTTTCCTCTAACTTAAATGAATACCATTTATTTAATGGGCTAGGCAGGCAAGACCTAAGGCTCACAACTCTCTGCCCAAAGACCTTTCACTATAATATCCAAGTAACTGAAATGACATGAAAAACCTATTGAGAGATAAGATCTTTGCAAGTTTAATCAAGTTGAGATGAGGTCATGCTGGATATGGTGAGCCCTTAAGTCCACTAACCTGGTGACTTGGAAAGGGCAACCTGGACACATTTACAGAGAAGAATGTGAAGTGATGAACCTGATATGAAGATGGAGTCAAAGATTGGAGTGATGATATCTGTAATCCAAGGAACACCCAGGTGTGCTGGCTCCACCTGGAAGTGGCAATGACAATTCTTCCCTTGACCCTTAGAAGGCCTTGTCTACTTCCTGATTTTAGACATCAGCCTCAGAAACTCAAAGAATAAATTACTATTTTTTTAAGCCATTGAGTTTGTGTATTTTGCTATGGTTGCCTTAGAAAACCAAGACATATTCATATATATATTCATACACAGACTGTAATCTGATTTTTATTTTTAAAAAATATTT